AACCCCGGATCGATTCCGGGAAGCAGCGAGACTGCCCCGCCGCCCGGCGGCGAGAAGGAGGTCGGACAACGCCCCACCCTCGTGGCCCGGCGGCCTCTCCAGCCCGGCGGCTACTTGACCTTCGCCAACCGCCCTCGCTCCGAGCTTACCGCCACGAGGCCGCACGCGCCTGCAGGTGGAGGACCCCGGCCGCGGACCCGAGGGGGCGCAAGATGGCGGCGGGCCGCGTGACTGCGGACCGAGCCTTTCCGGCGCTGCGCTCCGAGGACGCGCCGGCAGCGCAGGTTCGACTCCGGGACTAGCGCCGGTGGCGAACGGCGGTGGCGTCAAGCTCGCCTTCCTCTGGCGTCTTGGGGGGGAGTGTCTGCCGTGGTCCTCGGCCCGGGGGCGCGGGGAGCCGGTCTGACCCGTGTCTGTGGAGTGGGGCCCCAGAGAGTGGGAAGATGGCGATGACGCTGTTGGAAGACTGGTGCCGGGGGATGGACGTGAACTCGCAGAGGGCCCTGCTGGTCTGGGGGATCCCGGTGAACTGCGACGAGGCCGAGATCGAAGAGACCCTGCAGGCGGCGATGCCCCAGGTGCCCTACCGCGTGCTGGGGAGGATGTTCTGGCGGGAAGAGAACGCGAAGGCGGCCTTGCTGGAGCTCACGGGCGCCGTGGACTACGCGGCCATCCCCCGGGAGATGCCGGGGAAAGGCGGGGTCTGGAAGGTGGTCTTCAAGCCCCCGACTTCCGACGCGGAGTTCTTAGAGAGGCTGCACCTCTTCCTGGCGAGGGAGGGGTGGACCGTGCAAGACGTTGCCCGTGTCCTGGGGTTTCAGGCCCCCGCCCCGGCCCCGGGCCCCGACATGCCAGCAGAGATGCTCAACTATATCTTGGATAACGTGATCCAGCCCCTTGTGGAGTCCATTTGGTACAAGAAGCTGACGGTGTTCTCGGGGAGGGACATCCCGGGGCCCGGGGAGGAGACCTTCGATTCCTGGCTGGAGCACACGAATGAGGTCATAGGGGAGTGGCAGGTGTCCGATGTAGAAAAGAGGCGGCGGCTGATGGAGAGCCTCAGAGGCCCGGCCGCGGATGTCATCCGCATCCTCAAAACCAACAACCCTGCCATCACCACCGCCGAATGCCTGAAGGCGCTGGAGCAGGTGTTCGGGAGCGTGGAGAGTTCTAGGGATGCGCAGGTCAGGTTTCTGAACACCTACCAGAACCCAGGGGAGAAGTTATCGGCTTATGTCATTCGTCTGGAGCCTCTGCTGCAGAAGGTGGTGGAGAAGGGGGCCATAGATAAAGATAACGTGAACCAGGCGCGCCTGGAGCAGGTCATTGCCGGAGCCAACCACAGCGGGGCCATTCGAAGGCAGCTGTGGCTGACCGGGGCTGCGGAGGGGCCGGCGCCTAACCTCTTCCAGTTGCTGGTGCAGATCCGCGAGGAGGAGGCCAAGGAGGAGGAGGAGGAGGCTGAGGCTGCCCTCCTGCAGTTAGGCCTGGAGGGGCACTTCTGAGACGAGGGAAGTGGCGTTTGAGTGCAGACCTAGGTAACAGCTGCTTTGTGCTGTCTTATAGGTGTGTCTTAGTCAAGTCCTGTTTCTGGGGGGAAGTCCAGGCCTGCATATTCATGTAACATTAGTAAAGTTGTGCAAGGGAGCACCCTGAGCTGCTGTAAGTGTCATGCTAGCATGCTAAGATGCCAGGTAAAGGCACGGACACAGGTGCTCAGTGCAAGCTGTCATCTTGACATCAGTTGTGAAAAAATGTGAAACTTGTGAGACTTCTCATCGAGATATTTAAATGTGAAATTGCATGTTCAGATGTTTAGTGAAAAAATGTGAAACTTGTGAGACTTCTCATCGAGATATTTAAATGTGAAATTGCATGTTCAGATGTTTAGTTCAGAGCCTTGTTCCTGATTTATATTGATAAGAAATGTGTACTAGATATTCTTAGTGGTTCAACTTTATAGTGCTGTTTCTAATTGTTCCTGATTTATATTGATAAGAAATGTGAACTAGATATTCTTAGTGGTTCAACTTTACAGTGCTGTTTCTTATTTTTCATCTGTAAACATCAGGATCAGTTTAATTGGAAAGTAGCCTGAGACTACAAAATAGGGTATTAGAAAAGTACAATTATAGAGCTGTGTAAACTAAAATTTTCACTGTACAAGATATAAATCGCATGGAAGGTTAATATGAACCAGTTACAGTATCCATTCCCCCATTTCAAATCCTTGTTGATTTGTATTTCTCTTTGTGCCGGTTCTAAGTGTTCTAAGTTTGAAGTTATTAAATACATGTACACAAATAAAAATATATTTAAAAATTCAGGTCTTCTCATTTTCTGACATATAAAAAATTTTCAGTGTAATTAAAATCTGTATCTTTTCTTAGACTTCAAGTCACTAAGGAAAATCAAACCTCAGGTAAATATGAACTCACTATAAAATGTTAGGAAATCCAGAAATGGGGTTTAGGAGGTCATCCAGCATTTTTCCCTCCCCTTTTAAGTTCCTTTCAGCTAAAAGTGTTTGTTTTGCTGCAGGGATAACTCATACCTGTGTAAAATGAATGTTTCAGTTTTACAACAGCCATTTTATATCAAGAGGATATAAAAAGGGAAATATGGCTTAAAACATGTTTATTTGGCTACAGAGATTCAGTGACTGAAGATGTCCATCTTTTTTTTTTTTAAATATATTTTATTGATTTTTCTTTACAGAGAGGAAGGGAGAGAGAGAGAGTTAGAAACATCGATCAGCTGCCTCCTGCACATCTCCTACTGGGGATGTGCCTGCAACCCAGGTACATGCCCTTGACCGGAATCGAACCTGGGACCCTTGAGTCCGCAGGCCGATGCTCTATCCACTGAGCAAAACCAGTTTCGGCAAGATGTCCATCTTTTGAGACCCAGGTCCTAATCAATCCAGAAGCGGTTACATAAACATAATGTTCAGTGGAGATTTTCCCCCAGTAACAAGGCTTGAAAATTAAAGCCAACCAACCAAATAAATAAAATGATAGCCAACCTGTTAAAACAATCCTAAGGTAAAAATTATTCATAAAGGCTAATATTTGTATATGTTCTAACAGATGTCTCTATACACTCATCTCACTTCCTTCACTCTCTCTACACATCTCCATATATTTGACTCCCACAACAGAAAGGCAAATCTTCACTCCCCACAGACATGTCCTCATTCCCCCTCTCCCCCATTCACATCTCACATAGCTTCCCTGTCCATCTCCCGCCCCCGCCCCCCCCCCCCCACCACACACACACACAATGTGCTGGATACACATACACTCCCCTCACCTCTCACAATCCTATTTCATACATTCACTCCCACCTTCCCCAGAACACTCCATCATAAACATGCTTCCCCCTCTATACCAGTCTCCCACCCCTGTCATACATTTCCATTTCTCCACATACATGTTCACACTCCTACTCTATACATACACTCATAAAAACAAATAATGGGTTCATTTTTTAACCCAATATGTTATGGGCATCCTATATCTGCACATAGGAATGGATATATGTTCTTTTTATAGGTGCAGAGTTGATTGCATTTTAGGAGGGAGGGTCATCACCTAGGATTCTTGTATTATTATAACAATTGTATATATGTGTACACCCACAAATACTTAACACACGTATATGGTATAAAACAATATCAGGATTTTAGATGTCCATCCTTTGTTCTAGAAAACAATGAACTAAAAATAATGAACTATTTATGATTCAAATTAAGGTTTTCTCTATGGTTTCATTACAATCTGCTTTTCAAAGGAGGACAGTAGCAAGAAATATATCCTTATAACCAAAGAACTACGGATTAAAGAAGTAGACTGTCAAACTACAGGGGGAAGATAGGGGAGGGTTGGGGGTAAGAGATCAACCAAATAACTTGTATGCACGCATATAAGCACAACCAATAGACACAAGACATTGGGGGGTTGGGGGGAGGGCAAGTACCCCGGGGTAGGGGAGGCGGGGGGGGGGGGA